TTGTCAGGCATGACCAACGATTAAAGTTATATAGTAGTTGTGGAGACCCAAAGGCCAATTTGAGAATTACTCATTTACACTTTATCATGGGGAACAATATTCTAGAGAGGAATTTGGAAGAGAAGACTCCAAAAGTGTGGGCCACTTCTTTTTGTTTTAATGTTTTTTTTTTATTTATTTTGAGAGAGACAGAGAGCACGCGCATGTATGTGTACGTGTGCATGCCTGCACGCCAGTCGGAGAGGGACAGAGAGAGAGAATCCCAAATAGGCTCCAAACTGTCAGCACGGAAGCCTGATGTGGGACTAAATGTCACAAACCCTGAGATGATGATCTGAGCTGAAATCAAGAGTCGTTGCTTAACTGACTGAGCCACCCAGGTGCCCCTGTGGATCACTTTTTAATACATAATAGAGTCTGTTGATGCTAGTATGAAATACTGATTAGTTGTAGTATCTTATGGCGCATAAGGTATCTTAGGGAGTTCAGCATGTGATGATGTTCTTGTCTCCAGGTGACATGATTCTTGCTTTCATTTTATGTTTGCCTTCCTTCTCTCATTAATTTAAAAGAAAAAAAATCTATGAAACTTAAAATGATTAACAATTCTCAGGTAAAAAATTTAGCATCAACTGTTTTTTTTTTTTACCCTGAAATCATTGCTAGTATTATATTTGAGCAAAAGTGAGGGTTCTAATGCACGCAAAGCTTTTGGCTTTCTGACAACTATTTTCTGGAGCGTCACACAGAGTCTCTGGCCCAAGGAAGCGTGAACACACAGGGTTCACTTAAGGCTGGAGGGAGGGTCTCTGCCAAGAGGGCAGAATAATCAGAGGACCTTGCTCTTCTACTCACTACTTAGCAGCTTGGTTTGCTTCAGGCTCTCAGGGGTTGTCAAACTCAACTCCAGGCTCTCCTCCAGCTGTGGTCAGCCATTCAAGGAAATGTCTTTCCGGAGGTGAATGAGCCCTCTACGAGACATGGTTTCATACAATTTTTATATTCGGTAGGTACTGGGAGCAAGGCTCTAAAAAAGAAAAAAACAAACAAACCTAAGACACTTAAAAGTTCTCCACGTACTACTGTTTTCTCAGAAATAAGTCCATTGAAAACAAAACAAAATTAATCAGAACCTCAATTGTCACCAAGAACAGCCCCTCTTCTTCTACAGCTATACGACAGCTCTTTCATTTGCCTTGTTTAAATGAAAGTAGATAGGGGCGCCTGGGTGGCTCAGTCGGTTAAGTGGCCGACTTCGGCTCAGGTCATGATCTCGCGGTCCGTGAGTTCGAGCCCCGCCTCGGGCTCTTTGCTGACAGCTCAGAGCCTGGAGCCTGTTTCAGATTCTGTGTCTCCCTCTCTCTGACCCTCCCCCGTTCATGCTCTGTCTCTCTCTGTCTCAAAAATAAATAAAACGTTAAAAAAAATTAAAAAAAAAATAAATGAAAGTAGATATAGGGAAAGTTAGATTAAGATGTGACATGTAAGAAACTTCTTCATCAACATGCACTAATCCCTGCTACCACCAAAATACAGATGAATTGTTGAGGGGGGAAAAAAATTTCTACTTGATGAGAAAACTACTTTAATCAACATTCACTTCCACCTAAATGTTACCTGACTCATCTATTCATTTATTCAACCCATGTTTGGTGGCCTTTTTCCCCCCTACCTTTGAGCAAATAACTTCACTAAGTTATAGGAGGAACGAGGGCCTGCCCTCATGGAATTTAAATACATGTAGAGATAAAGTGGGGATGTCTAACAAAAGTTAAAAGTAGCAGGTGGAAAGTGTCAAAAGTGCGGTATGGGTAGAAGTATTGGTAACAATGTCAAAAGCAAGGGGAGGGGTGGATGGAGGAAGGAAAGATTACTCCCAGCTGAGGGAATTACTGGGTGTGATGAGGGGGTTGCAGATGGGGGAAGGGGAGAGAAGACTTTGAAGGCAGGCACGGGGGCAGGGGTGGGGAGTGGGGGCAGCAGGGACAGTGCAGGGGGTGTAAGGCCAGGAGTGATTAGCAGGGATTGGTTCCATACAGCCTGAGATAAGGCTGCCAGAGCAACAGGAAATGATGTTGGGAAGGCAAGTCCACTCAGACTGGAGACATCACTAGTTAAGTGATTGTAGACCTGACTAGATAGAGACCGAGTTTTTGTGCAAGTAACTGACCTGGTATGGTTGTAATTCTGCACAGTGAGTTAAGGAGAATTAAATCAAATAGGTTGAAATGCCAGAAGACTGGAGATGGAAATACTGGTTGTAAGGCTTTTGTGTAACCAAAACAGATATTTCCCAAAGTATGGGGAGGGTGTGATTTCTGGTATGTAAGGTGAATTTAAGTGATACTCAGATTTTGATAATAACATAGCCTAAATATGTATTAGAAAAACATAATTTGCACATCAAACCTCTGACTCCATAGACTATTGCCATGGACAAGTCTGAGAGGGAGAAATAGGTCTATTAACTTAAACATATTAAATAGTACAGTGTGTATGATCTGCCCATATTATTCAAACCTTGAAGGTCTTAGGGGAATGGCTAAAGGTTGGGGAACCCTAATCTAAGTGAAAGTTCACGAGTTCCTACATTAGGGGGACGGAAGCTTGAGAAGTTGTTTGATGGGGAAATCTGCAGATTTTGGCAATTCACTTGTGATGAGCAAGGAAAAGAGAGAGAGCATTCCAAGATGTGGCTAAGGTTTGGAGCCTGACCCTATTAAAATGCCAAAACCCATGAAAGACATAAAAGGTGAGTAGGTTCATGAGAAGGTAAGAAAGAGTTCAGTATATGGCAATTAAGAGTTTGGGAGACTTTCAGCATTTAGAAATGCAGAACTGAAGAGCTGGCATAGGAAGAGCTTTAGAAGCGGTCCCAGAGGTAAGAGCTGAAGTTGTGAGGTTGTGACTGGGGACTACAGAGAAGTGAAGAGGGCCAAGCAGGAGAAGCAGGAACACACAGGATCTTGAAAGAGCATTCCAAGTCTGAGCCTCAAAGGTAGCCCTTTGGTTAGCATAAGGTAGTCACTAAATAAAACTAATGCAAAAGAAATGTATAATCAACAGAGTTGAGACCTGAAGAGAATTTGAGGGGCAAAAGGGAGAAAATACCATTTCATTTGGCCATGAGGAAGTCACTGGTGACCTTTGGGTCTGTAGAGTCTCAGCAGAGTGAAAGGGCAGAAGCCAGATTGCAAGGAGGGAAGGACAGAGTCAGGGGGTCTGGAGGTAGACTCTCCTTTCAAGACATGAAAATAGAAAGGATGCTAGCTTGAGGAGTGGCAGGGCAGAGAAAGGATTTTTTTAATATTTATGTATTCATTCATTCATTCATTCATTCATTCATTCATTTATTGAGAGAGAGAGAGAGAGAGAGAG